ATCCATTGCTTTAATCTGTGCCATTAAAAATATGTCTTGTTCTGGTTTAGAGAGAGCCTGAAAAGATTCTCTTAATTCTGCAAATTGTTTCTTGGGAATTCTTGAAGAACAACCACAATCGCAACCTTTTTCTAAAAAATCAATGGCTTTTTGATATTCATTAGAACCATTATACTTATTATTACTTCTCATATACACTTATCCCTGTATATATAATTTATGTTCACTTTGTAGGTTTTTTTACAATAAAATGTTTAATAAAACACAAAGCTTAGATATTTTGTTGCTTTATTAATTATTAAGATAATTTTTATTTGCTTATTTAAAAATAATTAAAAAGATGTGATGCAAGTGCTAAAAAATTCTCTGGTAAATTCAGTATATATGAATGTAAGTGCACTAAAAAATTCTAATATTTTAAGCAGCTGGTTTGGTTAGCCAAGATATTATTTAAAAATGACATATCCTGGATTATTTAAACTATTTTCAAAATATTCTAACCATTTATCCAAAGGGTACCACTAGATATTTTAAAAAGTTAATTTTGTAACAAAAAAAATAATGTAATAAATAAAATAAAATAGATCAATTACCTTTTTAAACATTTCTTTAATCTTTTCAAGAGCATCAGATGCTGATGGTCGTCTATTTAAATCATCTTCACATAGTTTTGATGCTAGATTGGAAAGTTCTGTTGGGATGTTGTGGATGTTGCTTGAAAATATTAAATGTCCAACACTCCATAGGTCAACTTTTTCATCATGCTTACCCCTCAACATTTCAGGCGCATGTTCATTTTCCTTGAGCTGATTTAAAGCTACTTGTGGAGCAAATTCAGCAAATTCAAAATCAATTAAAATATATATTTCATTATGCAAAATTATGTTTGGCCATCTGATGCCTCTATGCATTAATGGATGGGGCTTTATATTGTGTAAACCCTATTGAGTATTAAAAGCATTAGATATAAATATACACATACAACACATCTATGTAAAAACTAGAAGACATCTTACTTTGATGCAAGTTAATATACATGTTAATGCTCTTAACAGTCCATTAAAATCTGATGGTTTCCTTTCATCTCCACAAGGCTTTAAATGTACACGTTTACCATGTGAAGCAAATAATTCATCAACACATCTGATTTCATTGTCCTATAAATATTAATATAGTTTTTAGAAAAGATTTTACTCTAAACAGAAAAAAAATATAGACTGACTTTCAGTATCTTGTAAATATGTTTTAAGTGATTAGCATCTTGTTCTTTAAGAAGTATTTTCTTAACTGTGTAACCAATTTCAACCACATTTCCATTTAATCTATTTAACACCTGAAACTCAGGGTTATCTCTTTTGGGGCATAGATCCAATACCATTGGTAATAATCGACCTAAAAACAATGAAATAAGTCAGCCTTTTAAAAATAGTTTAAAGTCACTGAGAGCACTTACATATGTTTCTAATGTAAAACATTGCATTAATTCTATCTGATAACCTATTTAAATCAAATACATTAAGGCTTTCACTGTGTATTTTTAGTTCATGGTTGTTTCTGGAATGATGTGTGAGGGATTTGTATAAAATAGCAAATGTGACAAGAGCACCTTTTGCATAATATCCAAAAATGTAGGGGGCATCACCATAATTCCAAGTTTCAAATTTTTCAATCAA